TCTCATACTCTTGAACCATCAATCATATGCAGAACGATGTGTTGGAAAGGGCCAAGAGAGCCAAAGAGAAAGCAGCACGTGAAGCAGTGGAGGGACAAGGAGTTATTCCCAAGTCTACTGCAATGAATACAACATCAATCACCAATGGTGCTACACCTGCATCACCCTTAACTCCTACAAATTCATCATCCTCTAGTCCACTGATCTCTGAAGCTGAGACAGACCAGGATCCTGCTGACACGGGACCTGTTTTAGGGATATCAAATGATGACTGAGCATCCATGTTATAATATCTCCTTTCTTTTATCGCAAACAATAATTTTGTAATTTCAGATTGATAATGCTGGAATTTTTTTTATTCACATTTTTTGTTAGCAGAAGCGGCGTAAGATTTATTTATAGTCAAAACTGATTTCTTGTTTGCTTCTATCAGTTTTCTATCAGCTTGGATTGCACAGAACTTGGCACCTAAAGATAAAAAATCGATTACTAACATTTAGAGAGTAGTTTATTGGCAGGATGGCATCTTGTGCATTTGATTTTAGGAAGAATGGGTTTTGAGATTCAATTCCCTGTAAAGCTAGCCACACGTTTGGTTTGAGGGTAAGGTATGGCGAACCCTCTTATATCTTAAGTGACATATTGCGGTGATTCAATACTTCTCACACACGGTAAATGCAATCCTTGAGACCCATTAAACACTGAGATTACTCATCAAACAAAATTTCTCATACATCCAACATATGTAATCATCATAAATAAGTAAAATGAAAATTTTATGTAAATCGGGTTGTCTGTGAGATCCAACTGCAATTTCCCTTGCATGTTTATTTTTCTCATCACTCATCGAACTCAACACTGGACATTGGCACTACACCGCTGGTTTGATCATTTCCCGTCCTCTTAACATAATCCACTTTGAAGTCATAGTCATCATCCATAGCATCATCAGCTGATGTTGATTTATTAGCCTTTTTCCTCATCTTCTTTTCTGCTCTCCTCTTCTTTGTGTTAAGTATGCCTTCTGCGGCATATAGCTTCTCATTTTGTCTGCTTGTTGCAGATTTTGACTTAGCGTTTTCTTCATCGCCTCCTACAGATTCCATAGGTTCATCATCACCATCATCAGAAATACCATCTGGGATTTCCTCACCTTGAGCTGATGGTAAGGCTTGAGCTTTATTTTCCTGTAAATTTAACCCATTTCATATTTATCAAAGGTATCCAAAATGAACACTTGCATAACTCAAAATTTGCAACTCCACAACATTATTGTTCTGGGCATTCATTTGTAAAGTAATTGTAAGGTAGGTCCATGAAATAATATACAATTTAGCATAAATGAAATCACAAACCTCTAGCATAGTTTCATCAAAGTTGAGAGGGCAGCTAGGAGGAACTTCATTGTGATGGAAATCATCAACAGACTTGAGACTTCCGATAAAGGAAGATTCTGCATTGTAAACCTCATCAATGTTGAATTCTTTACCCAATTCTGTAACAATCCTCACCTCTGCAGGTTCTTCTTGATCCCTTATTGGGGGCATAGTATAATATGGAATTTTACCTGAAATATGTCATGCAGATGATACCAATTTACTTTGCATGGTTACAAGCAAATTTTTACTTCCTTTTTTTAGAATATAGAAGGTAAAATGCACAGCAAAAAGGCACAAGCATGCATACCTTCATTCCAGTCATGCAGAACTATCCTTGCAGCAGCATCAACATCGATAATACCACCCTTTTTGAGCTTACCCCTGACGGTAGCAACATTCTGAAGAAACTCATCAACTGAATTAAAGCTTGCAATTTTGTATATTGTCACCAACAGTCTTTCCTGGCAAAGCTTCAGAATTTCTTTCACTGTATTTTTTAGGAGAGATGTTAGGATAACTTAGCCTGTTAAAACCAAATGAATAAAAATAATCAACTGTAAAAACCAATTGAATTCTGTATTCCAGGTCTCCCAGAGAGCATCTAATTACCCTTTCTTTTCTGTAAAGGTTCAATAAATCACCTTAACCCATTTAACTTTACTGTGATTTAATGCCAATCAGTAGGATATACAGCTAAAAATCACATCCACATAGAAGTTAAATGGATGGATTTGATTACCTGGGGCAATTGGATCATCCAACTTCTCAATTCGTTTGCAGTTTCGAAGGGCTATAGATGCATCATTTCCAGCAGATCGAAGCATTACAACACCAGGGCAATCCAACAATTTGACATTCTTGTCTAACTGAACTTCTTGCATTGATCTAGTTAATCCTGGCGTGGCACCAACATTGGCAACATGGCATCTTTTCAAGCTGTTGATGAGACTACTCTTACCAACATTAGGCAGGCCAATCACACCAACAGTAATTGACTTTTTGAGCTGCAAAAAAATGAAGCATGTTGAGATCAATCATGCAACAAAACAAGTTATGCAAACTTCAACTCCAAGTTTGAACTGCACAGCAAATTAATAACAGAACCTTATATGAGGGATAGACAACAGCAAAGCATCAAGAAACGTAATAACATGGTTATCAAAAAACAAGTGCCAACATACCTCATGACTCCTTGAATAATTTTTGAGCAGTTTAATAAGGGTTTCTGCTCCAAGGCAGTCACTTGTTTGCAGAAGATTGCTTGGTTTTGCTGCCTTTGATGATTTCCACCCCAAGTTTGACCTCTGCTCCTGAGTGCTGCACTTGAATGCAACAGCAGGGAACTCTTCTCTAAGGTATTTGAGCCACTTTTCAACAGCTTCTCGGGGGACAAGATCTGCAATACAGGTTTCCATTAAAAATGGTGACATATGAAGTAATGTCATGAAAACAAAAGGTAATACTCCTCATTTGGTATGGGAAACTTCAAACGAGATTATGGTTTTTCTTCCCCTTCTTTTTTTTGATGGCCATACTAATACATCACACATTTCAATTGCTAAGAACAATACTCACAGACTCAGACAAGGAAAATCTCAAGATAGGATGAACAGATAATGAAATTACCAATTTTATTTAAAAGCAATACTAGACGCTTATCAGGGCCAGATTTCAACACCATCCTCTCCATATCCACACAACGGGTACCAAGGGGATCTCTAGCATCAAGAACTTCCAAAATGACATCTGATGCTTCAATGACTTTAACCAACTCCTTGTAGAAAGCCCTATCTGAGTTATCTGTACCAAAGAAGTGATGTCAACCACAGTGAAAATGGCACAAAACTTAGACCTATAGCCTAAAAGAACGTACTTCCAAAGCAATAATATATCTTCCAAATAAACATCAACCTACCCCGATTTTTTCCAATAACAGTGAAACCATCACTGGCATTTTCCTCTTCAAAATTTTGTTCTTTTTCTGCAGCAAAGTCAGCTAGCTTGGAGATATCACCACCCTCAACCAAACCCAACTTCCTCAATCTTGCCTGAAAAATCATAAGAAGTAGCAACACAATCACTATAAGACAGAAGGCACATTGGATTAGGCAACTAGTTGCGACTTGTGACTCCAAACCAAAAAGCAAGAAGGTACTGCAAAATTGTTCAAAAAAAAAAAAAAAAAGAGGCTAGAAATTTTGTTTGCATAATCAATTTTATCAAAAAATAAATAAATCTGTTTTCTTCCATTTTTCTTAAAAATTGTAATATTTGGAGACATCAGCACAAAAAACGTGAAATATTGAAATTACCTAAATTTAACTCTAAAACAAATGGTCATGAAGACAGGAAACAATGAAGTCAAAATTAATGCTTAATAGTGGTTTAAACAACTCAGCTTAATCCAAATGAATTCAGCCAGATAGAAACTCAAAATTAAACTTTTAACTAATAATCCCCTTTAACAATAAATCTTAGTCTTTTTATAAAGCTACGAATTTCCCAGAAAAAGTGCAATCAAGAAAATAAAAACCACAAAAGGAAAACAAGATTAAAATGGAAGAATGAGACCGAAATTGAAGCAATACCCTCTCCTTCCGAGCAGCCTTCTTTTGCTCCAGTTCCTCGAGCTCGCGAGCGCGACGAGCTTCAAGAGCCTTGAGCTCTTGTTCCTTGAAAGGCCAGTCATTGGGGATGCCGGGGTCCTTCTCAACCTTGCGCTTGCGGTTCAATCCAAGCTTCTTGGCCTCCTTAGCTTTCTTCTTGTGGTGCTCCTTAACCTTCCTCAGGACCTTGTACTTCTGTTTCAGAGTTATCCTCTTACTCTTGCTCTCTGCAAATCACAAAGCGAGTTAAAATCCCAAAAAAAAAAAAAAAGGTTACAATTGAAGAAGAAGAGGGAATGGAGCTCAGGTTGCTTACTTTTGCTCTTCTTCACCATATTTGATTGTGATGAGGTTGAAAATTCAGAAGGGACTAGGAGGCAGAGAGGGATAGCCAAACCCCAAGCCTTGTTAGGGTTTGGGGGAAAACAAGGAGAAGAGAAGGAAAGGCTGGATTTTTAGGGTTTTTGAGGTGTGGGGTCGGTGGTGACGGCGGAGTCGTGAGTGTGACCCGTTTTGTGAAATCGGGGTGAAAAAAACCTGATCGCCCGACCCGTACACAGATGGTGGTTTTTGGGGGAAAAAAAAGTTGTGGAAAAGTAAAATCTAATGGGGTGAGAGAGGCTCGAACTCTCGACCTCAGGATAACTCAGAAGCTATGAGACCTACGCGCTAGCCAACTGCGCCACCACCCCAAGTTTGGGTAGGGTTGTGAAAGATAAGTTTATTAGAATAATCAAATTTAGAGAGGAAAACTTTAAACAAGAAGAAGTTAAGCTAATGCTACCAATTATCTAGAGTGCACAATGTGAATGTGAGGGTATGCTTCTAAAATTGTAGATAAGTAATTAATCTCAAGATGCTTACACGTGGATATCTTGATTGCTTAAGGAAAAAAAAATGTTGATTGCATTTAGTTTTTTGATATTAACCTCTCAATAGTCGATAACCATATTGAATTTCAATTAATTTAAAATGCATATTTTTTTATTAATAATATTTGAATTAAAAATCTTATTAAAGAGAAATCAAACTATTTTTGCTCGAACCAATAAATCGTTAGTGTTGATTGCATCTAGTTTAATAAATAAATACAATATGATTCTTTAAAGGCAAAAAAGAATCATGATGATGCGCTTGTTAGCCATTTTATTGTCATTATTAATGCATGATTAAGTTTAAAATCATGAATAGAGATAAACCTACATGAATTAATCATATAAAAATAATAAAAAGAATATCATTAGCATTTCTTTAAATAAATATATATAAACATTTATTGAAATTCTATTTAAATTTAGGTCAGGTTAGTTCACCATTTTGAGAAAAGTAGTTGTCTTGGAAAGTGTGGCCCTCCTAATGGCCCCTGGTTAATGGTTATGGTGTAGAACGCCAAGTCGAAGGAAAAGCAAAGATTTATTAACAAAACACCCTCCCAATACAAACAAAAGGCTGGCTCACCACTAGCATTGGACTAATTCAAAAATAACACCTCTTGAGATAACAGCTGCCCCCAAACAAATGTAAGGATAGTCATCGACATTTTCAAAATCTTTTTTCTTTTATATCAATAATTAAATTTAGATGTTTTGTTTAGTTTAAAAAATATGAGGGGAACGCACCTGGTCCTTGAGGTTTAGTGACATTAACCACCAATACATTCCCTCGAGTAGGGTTTGAAACCCACCCCTTGCAAAATATGTTAAAAAAAATATATACGAAGGGAACAATAGGGAAGACAATATCTTCCCACTTTCTTCCCCTTCCCTTCCTTTTTCTCGTGTAATTATACTAAAATCATTAAAAAAAAAAAATTAAAGGAAAACTACTACTTCACTCGCCTTTCCCTTAATTTTTGTTATCTAAGCTCATTCTTACTAGATGCAAAACATGGTGTCGCCACTTCCTATTTGTCCCAATTAAATGTTAATTTTGATTTCTTAATTTTAAAATTTTATATAATTTTGATTTTTATCTTATTTACCTTATTTTTGTCTCTTAATTATAAAAAATACATTTTTTCTTAATATTTTCATCTGTTAGTTTGTTAGACTTATTTATATATGCGGTGCTCATTTTTAATCTTTTAATTTTAAGATCTTATATAATTTTTATCCTTTAATTTAAAATTTTAAAAACTTAAAATTATATATATATTTAATGAATTAATTGATAAAAAAAATTATAAAAATATATTTTTTATAATTAAAGAATTAAAAAAAAATATAAAAAAGAATGAAATTATGCAAAATTCTTAGTAAGGCACCAAAATTTACATTTAACCTTTGTCCCTTTCACAAAATAAATCCCTCTTTCCACCGGGCCGTTAAGTAGTCCTTCTTCTCCTTATCCTCGTCCCATGATCTCGACCCAACCAATTTGTAAGTGAAAAACCAGGTACGCACAATTCCAATCCTATTATTTAATCTTTATCAGATCCATTTCCGCCTTCCTCTAAACCCTAACCCTAAAATTCCAACATTGCTTTTCCCTGCTGCCATTTGTAATGGTAAAGTCGCATCTTCTTCCCTCACACCATGAATGCAGGATTTCCAATCGGATGTCTTCTGAATGCTTTTGTTTCTATGTAGGAATTCAGTTGCTAGCTTCCGAGGACGTTTGGAGTTAGACAATGTGTTGATTGAGAAGCAGGAATCTTTTCATCAATGGCAGAATCCGCTGTTTCATCGCAACTTATCAAGTTGCATGTGCAGCGAAAAGTTTCCATAGGGAGACGCTCTGTGATCCGGGATTCGCATTTTCGAACATCATACAGGTCTGCTTCTCTTTAACTCATTGACTCTGTTTACTTTGGTGCAAATTTGGGTTAAGAATGCGGATATAAATGATGGGTCTTGTTTAGTTTATTATGGCAAGTGGGTGAGTTTATTATGTTACTGCTGAAATTGAGCTATTTGTAATGATCTTAGTAGTTCAGCTATTAGTAATGATCTTAGTAGTCTTACTTGATTATTGATTCTATTCATTTAGGAAGTGTTATTTTGAAAGCTGTAAAGTTTTCCGCTTACCAGCATTGGAAATGCGCAAGGCTGGCAGTCCTCGATTCTCAACTTTGATGGTAAGTCCTTGCGCCAGGGACACCTCTTTGAGATCTAGTTGCTTGGGGTCTTTGGTAAGCTCTGATGGTGTAACAGCCTCTGATTTGATACTGGTTGGTGATCAAGTACTTTTGATGGCCAGTATATTTCTTACATATCTGGCTGGAGTAGTTCCAGTTCAGAAGTCTCGTTCAACATTCCAAAACAATACAGCTCAGAACAATGCTGTTCCTGAAAGCTCGAGCTCCCCTGGTAGGTAAGGGTAAGCATATTGAAAATTTATAATTTAACATTTCTTTGGGTTGATATGGATAATAACTCACATTATTCTCTGCGTACTTGATTGCAGACCCTATATGTGTTATTTCTATTAGTTACTTGAGATATTTTTACTCTATGCAGAGCCAGGGAGAATGGTGGCATTGCTAATTTAACACATGCCTGGGATGTAGTAAGAGAAAAGCTTTTGGATTCTCTTGATGCCATTGAAAATGGGAGTGGTTTTGAAAGTGGAGCCTTTGAATACAATCAACACCATGCTAAGCAACCATTAAGTTTGTACGCCATATCTGAGGGTCCCAAGATTAGATTGCTTTGGGCTTCTTTTCAGCAACTTGAGGAAGAGGCAGGCACTGTCTCTATTGTTTCTTTTTCCTGTAGCTACTATTTGTTATATTTTCTTTTCTTTCTTTTTTGGATTACAAATTTCACTTACCTGCTTTACACTTATGCTAGCTATGCTTCTTCATTATAACTTTCCATCAATAATTATTCTGCTTAGAACTACTTATTTGGAAAAAGAAAAGTTCAGGCTTTGGAAGTTGTTTATGTGTGTGCTTTTTACCTTATTTTCATTTAGCTGTAAAAAGTATACAATTTGTGTTTTAACTTGAACTACCACACTGTGGAACTGACCTCCTAAGACCATACAATGGGTCCTAATGTCAAATAAGAAAGCACAATCATGTTGGTTATAGGTTGTCATTCTGAAAAGTTCTATATTTTTGAATTTGGAGATGTGAACTTCTGTTAACTTGTAAATGGATAATCTCTGTTTATAATGATTCCAAAGGTTATTTTAAGGAAGTCCTTAGCCCATAGAACTTCTAAGTCTTAAATAAATAACTTCATTATTTCAATTTACTTACGTGGAATAATCTATCACTTTTTTTGGTAAAATATATGAATAAACACATACGCGCACAGACACTGACTAGAATGCTTGACTGTTGTTTCAGTTTAGTTCATTATTCTGCATTTCGATGATTAATGGTTCCAGTTATTTGTTTCTCAGGTCAATAATATTTTTTGTTCATCTCAAACTGTTGATATGGATTGGGTGGTAGCCTTTTCTGAAGTCATTCAAAAATCTTATCGGCCAGTATGTGTTGCTTGGCTGGAAAAGGAACTTTGCCTAGAAAACAAGGTGAAAAAAAGACATAGATTTCAATTGCTATAGAATTATTGTTGCTATTAGCAAGATTAGGTGAACAATCATTGCCCCCACTTTTGGCAGGCACTTGTTTCTTTGATGATTGAAAAGTTAAATGGAGATGACACTGTTTTACGGAGCTTCCAAAAGTCAGGGAAAGAAAGTCTTTATGCTGAATTGTTATACTTTCTGAGATATGGCTCTCTCAGGTAAGATCAGATATTGTTGTTGGTGGCTGGTCTCCATTATGTTTCATATAAATCTTTTAAAGTTATTGTTTTGATGTTGCACATGTCTATTGATTGGTGAAGAATTTTTAAGAATGTGAGTTTCTAGGGTATGGTTAATGGGAATGACAATTAACATTTAGTTTACTGCATAAGGACATCATTCCCCTATCAGTTTTCCCTAAAGTTCATATTACTGGTGGCTTAGAAGGAACAAATGCATAGTTGTTCCATATGTGTGATGCAAATATTCCTTGCATATCAATTAATAAGTTACCATTTCACTTCTCCAACCTTTGCATCTCCCAGACTCCACTTTTGAAATAGAATGTATTATGGAAAAAGTTGAAACTATTCAAGTAATGGGGTGACCTCATGAGCCATCAGAGATCTCATCAATTTGAGGGGATTTTTTTCCTTTGAGCTTATTATTTCTCTCTCCCTACCCAAGATAGGAACCATCATTTTCTTTTAATCTACTTTTAGTTGTTCCCAGACCAAAATAGGGTGGCAGTAGTATGCATCATCCAGTTTAGAAATAGGAATATTGGGAAATAAAAAATATGTAGTTGTGTCTCTTATGTCATTTCCTGACAGCATGATTATCACAGCAGCAAACAGTTATGATGCTTGGATGATTGCCATATTTATAACTATATCTGCTTTTTTCAGATATTGCCTGGGATAACTTTCTTTTTGGCTACAACATGGAGGCTTTAACATTACCTTCATGCTTCTATTTTTAATTCAGGTTCTACAGTCAAAATATTCTGGTCTCAGTTGAGAAACTTAACATCCTTTTATCTCTGCTTAAGCAGGAGCAATTGCTGCTATGACCAGAGCTTGTTTACTTTACATGGGAATTCCATATTGGAAGATTTGGTGATAACATTAGCAGATGGGATAGCAAGTATTTGTTTAGAGCTTATGTCTGTTGACAGCAATTTATCAGATGAAATCAATAGCCTAGCTTTGACTATCTGCAATTTGTCAACCCGTGCACTCCAAAGGTTGCGTAATGAGGTCTGAATCTCCTTTCAGAATTTAACTGAATTAAATTTGGTCTTAGTTATAAAATTGTTCAATGGTTGAGCATGCCCTGTATCTTTAGTATGCAACTTTAAGTAAAGTTTTTGATTCACATATGCCTTATCTCAATTCTGAAACTTTATCCATTTCTAACGAGGCATTTTCATATGACAATGGGTCTGGATATGCTTGGTTTGTGTTATAGCACTTCATTTTTGTAGCTCTGTTGTGACCGAGAAAAATTGACCATAATGCCTTCTTCAAGTTTCTATATTTTCATAGAAGAGTAGGTAGTGAACTGCATCCAATCTACATCCAATCTAACCTCTATGTATCTGGAGTCTTGGCTGAAGTTGATCAACATTTTTAGAACATGTTTTCTTTACAGGTTGCTCTAAACCAGTGGCTGTATCAAAATATGGAGGCAATTGTTTCAATGTATGAGGATCGCTTTGACCTCTGTGTGCTTGAGAATCAAGTTATTGAAGCTAAAAGTAGTGATGATGCTGAAAGTTATAGGTGGTGGAAGAATCTTATGCTAAAAAGATCTGAAAGCACGTCATCTTCATTACGTAAAGTTTCTATAAGCCGTTTTTCTATAACTGTAAAGCGGACCAAGGAATTAAGGGCCTTAACAGGGTGGTATGTTTTTCCTCTTTGCCCATAACTTAGTTTCTTGCTGTTATATAGCATTAAAATATGATTTTCTGGTGGCAAGGGTAGCTTCCTTTTAGTTGTATATGGGAGCATTTGAATAAGTTGTTTCACATGGGATGGAAGAGGATTGGAGCTGAGATGAAGTTGTTGTTAATTGTCATGTAATGGGGCTGTTTAGTGGAGCTTAAAAGCAAACTCCTATCTGACAGTTTAATGGTAGTAGTCCTCCAAACAGCCTATCTGACATTCTAATGGTAGTGGCCTTGTACACTTGCCTTATGAAAACGACTAGCTTAAACATGCTTTTTAGTATAGTGAATTCCTGATATGGGAAAAGATACTGTTAAGATATATATTCCTTTGCAGTGTTACCAACAGGACTACGTAGGCAGTAGGCTATAGGTAAGCTGCTAGAAAAAGTTTTATCTTATCTGGATTGCAAACAAGACATCTGTAGTTAGGGGAGCTGAATTAATTTGGGCCTAGATTTCCCTACGTCATTTAATAACCTTGCTTAATTGGTGATGAGCAAAGCATAAGGTCCCACTTTTAGTTGTGGATCTTTTTTTTTTTTATTATTATTATTATTATTATTTTCGCCACTTTTAGTTGTGGATCTGCTTGAAACATTTTTCCTTACTAAGAAGTTTGGCTTGGGATTTCGGCATTTTCATCTGACAGCCTGGACAAGGATTCAGTAAATGATCACATATATATGAGATACGTAAAATTTTGCATACCTTACATCGTTGTAAAGTTATTCTGCTAGAAGCTTCAGATGTTACTATAATTTCTATTCTTCTAGAACCACCTGAAGTACTATAATTTCTACTTTCAAGTTGTTAATTATTTTGCTGGAAGCTCGAGATGTTAAATTGTTGAAAATTTAGATATGATCTGTTGTCTTTCAAAATCTAATCAATCATTTCAATTTTGCTGTTGCAGGAGGTACTATTTCAGCTTGTTGATAGAGTTTGCTGACATTACTATGCCAATAGTTAGAGCTATTATTGACAAAGTCAGCAATGCTATCTCTTTCTTTCTAGTTTGCTTGATTGGGAGGTCATTAGGACTAATCTATACAGGAATTAGGCAGTCCCTACGATGGAAGTGAGATGTAAATAGTACATTTTTGTTGTTTAACCACAGTTTCTTTTTTAAATGCAACAGTGCATTCTTTTTCTTCTTTTAGTGTTTTGAGACCGTAGGTCCATAGGAATGTGATCTATGAACAGTCGTGCTGAATCCTCGATTGTTTTGCCTCAGCTGTTATATACTGCTCAAAATTAATTGATCTACAAATCTAATGAGGATATTTGCC